ATACTATAACCGGGACATTACTAAGGAGAGAAAAAGACAAAAAACACCATGACCTCATTACAGCTCTCAGAGAAGGCCCCACCTGACTGGGGCCTACCGCTGTGGACAGGAGGGGCACTTCCACAGGGAATGCAAAAAGAGGGGACAGCCCGGGAGACAGCCCCACCTCCAACCAGGACCCTGCCCTCTGGAAGTCTAAGTGCCCACATCTTCCAATGAAAGGTGAGGTGCCACCTCCTATGGATTGATGGGTCCCAGCCTCCTGTCCACGCTCCACTTATTGGCATCCGTGTTGAGGAGCCATAATGGCAGAAAAGCAAAAGGTCATTTTCCTCCTAGACAGTGGAGCCCATTTCTCCATCTTATCTTTCTCTCCTGGTCCCCAGTCCAATGACAAGGTTATCATTCAGGGCAAATCTGGCCAGCCCCTAGAGCGCTAGTTTACCCGGCCTCTGGCCTGCTCTTGGGGAGACCTCCTCTTCTGTCACTCTTTCCCCATAGTACCAAAAACTCCAGTGCTCCTGCTGGGACAAGGATTTACTATCTCAATTAAAAGCTCAAATTCTCCTCCCCCCAGGCAGCCATCTCTGCTGCCCCTCCTTCAGGAACAAATAGATCCCAGTGTGGACTGATGAGATGAGTGTAGGGTGAGCCAGGACGGCCCTCCCTATTCAAATAAAACTCAAAGATCCCTCACAGTTTCCACACCCAAACAATATCCCCTCAAGCCTGAGGGACGGGAGACCTTATCCCTATCTTATAAAAGTTAATTTTAAAATACAAGTTACAAAGTAAACAAGTAAAAAGGACATAGACAGGTATTGAGTATATTTTTTAAGCAGTTAAAGAAAAAAAAGGAATTTTTTTTTTGGATGAGTAACGATTTTATAAAGAGGGTTTATCTTAAAGATTGTTCCAAATATGGAGAGGAGGGATAAGGAAAAACCATTAAGGGTTCAAAATATTATATGGAGATCAGAGTAAGTTTGAAAAGTGTATACTAAAAAGCTACAGTGTGTGATAAAGTTAAAGTTGACTGTAATCTTAAGAGTTGCCTAAAAGATTTTTAGGGTCATGTCAAACTAAAATCAAATTCTGTCTATAAAATAACAAGGTTATCTTAATATTGTTCTGCTCTAAGTAACATCTACAAAAAAACTGTTACAGGAAAAGATTTTATCAAAGAAATTACTTGTGTTTTCTGTAGATCCTGTCAAGCTTTAAGTACTACTAAATCAGAGTTCATTTATGTATTTGCTCATGTGTCTTAAATGACCACCTTATAACTGTGTTGTGTCTATATTTTATCTAAATATGGTACAAACATTTACAAAGTCAAAAGTGTCAATTTATATAAAATAATGAGCTAAAGCTCTCTTTTATCCAAAAGTGTTACATTTAACCTAAATCCTGACAGCCCCTGCCTCCCACAGTTCACCTACCTAGGTGTGTTCTTAAAGGGACAGACTCACTCCCTGAGTCATGAGGGAATCAACCCAATCTTCCATTTCCTACTCCCCCATACCATAAAACAGCTTACAGCTTTCTTGGGAGTTACAGGATTTTGTAAAATCTAGCTCCCTAGATATGCAGCTCTTACCAGATACCTTTTTATGCTCCTACTAATATGCCTATTTGGGTCTTGTATAATGAATGCTCTCTCCAGATTTATATCTCAACAGGTCCAACAGATCAAACTCCAGCTTTTAGTCAAGGAATACTCACCTCTGCCTAGGCTTAAACCCTCCATCCCATTCTATCAGGGGCCCCTAGAAACTACACAGGTCAACCCGAGACAAGTACCCTCTCCCCTATCCCCCTGGCACCCCATTGTCAGCACGAAGCAGCTTAGATGAGTCATCATCGCCCCCCTCCCCAACAGCAGTTGGGTGCTTGTCTCAGAGGGGGGGATTTGTTGTGTCTAGAGACCTAAGGCAAATGAGTGAGTTCATCCCCCATGGAGAGCACTATGATTCCTGCATCCTGAGGAGATGGAGGCCTGCAATCTTGCATCCTAAAGGAGAGATACAGATCTGTCACAGGGATGATGAGTAAAATGCTCTCAAGATTGTTTCTCCACCCCCATAAGGGGCAAATAGACCAGTTCATCTAAGAAAGCTTGTGAATCCATGGCCAGTGGAAAAAAACCCACCTAACCCTTACACAAACCCAGAATTAAAATGCCCATAAAAACCCCAGCCTTCACCTGAGCAGTGAGCTACCAGTTTCTGGGCTCCGCTGCAGTTCCCTAGCTGTAGCCTTTCCTTTCTCTCTAATAAATCCCACTTTATATACTGGCTTTGGCTCATCCTTCAGCTGCCTCACGAGCCAGTTCTCTGGCCTGTGAAGGCAAGAACCCTCGCCACCGGCACGTAACAGAAAGAATGTCTGGAGAGTGCAGTGGTCACCAGTGATGGTTGCCACAGGTGAATGAGTAAGAAGCTGGTATGTGTGCTGATGATTCCCAGGAAACAGCCCTTCACTGCCTTCTACAAAGGGATCAGACCAGACAAGATGATGGCCCTACAAATTTATACAAACCAAATGCACAACTTTATGCAATTACCACTTAAAAATCTGCCTTCAGCCCCTGACACCCATACCTTTTCACGATGCTAAAAAAGGGTCTGTAATCCAAAGAAAGCAAAGGACAGCTAGCTCTAATGTCCAACTTTCCATGAACATAACAACCCCAGACAGCTGCCTGCATCTGGCACAGGGCCATGTGCACAACTTTTTAGGCAGATGCAGTCAGCCAGGAAGAGCTGTCAATCCAGGCTATCCACCTCCTAGGAGTAATATGTGAGTCTCCACACACACCCAACCCAGGGCACTGCTTACTGCCCGCTGTCTACATGGAACCAGGGATTTCCTGGCTGACTTCCAGCTAGCTAAACATCTTCTGGGTGAACATTTATCAAGTGAGGCCATGAACAGCATTTCTACTTCAATCAATGTAAGGGAAATACAAGCATTAAGGTATTTCTTAAGAATGAATAATAATAAGATCAAGGTATTTCATTCTTGTCTAAATTCAATTCTTCAATTACTAGCCTAATGCAAGGTTTGTTAACCTCAGTGCTACAGATATTTTAGACCAGATAAAACTCCACTGTGGTCGGGACACTGAAGGATGTGCATCGTAGGATGTCTGGTAGTATCTCTGGTCTCTACTCACTAGATACCAGTAGCACCCTCCCTCCAAGTTGTGACAGAAATGTTCTCAGACACTGCCAAACGTCTCCTGGGCTGCCCAGGAAAGACTGCCCACCTCTTAGGAAGAACAAGAATGCTTACTATTGGCATAGCAAAATAAGGTTCCACACATATTTTGTAGTTGTATGTCCTTGTGTTGACTATTTGTTCATGTCCTCTACATAGTTATGTATAGTCATTCAACACATTACGGTGTTTTGGCCATCAACAGATAGGACAGTGATCGATAAGACTATATGGCCTACTGAGGTCACAGTTGTCTTAGTGTGTTTAAGTGTACTCTACAATGTCCACAGGATAAAATCACCTAACAATGTGTTTCTTAGAACTTATTGTCTGTGGCGTATGACTATATTTGGTTTTAAAGTGATCATGGAGAAATTAAGGTAAGTAGACAATATTTCAGAAGAACATGGGCATCCCCATGAGGTCAGTGTTGGTGAGACAACTATTCTACGGTGCTGATGACCACACAGTCAGCTAAAGTCCTTTTAGGAAGCAATCTAGAAGCCAGGCATGGTGGGACATGCCTATGATCCCACCACCAGGGAGGCTGAGGCAGGAGGATTCTGAGTTCAAGGACAGCCCAGGCTACATATAAAGTTCCAGGGCAGCCTGAGCTGTAGAGGAAGACCCTGTGTCAAAAGAAGACACAGGTCAGGCAGTGATGGTCCACACCTATAATCCTAGCTACCCTGGAGCAGGGATCAGGAAGACTGAGGTTCAAAGTCATTCCTGGGCAAATAGTTTGTGAGACCCTATCTTCGAAAAAAACTCATCAAAAAAAAAAGGGGTGGGGTGCTGGAGGAGTGGTTCAAATGGTAGAGCTCCTGCCTAGCAAGCATGAAGCCCTGAGTTCTAACTCCTGTATAGCCAAAAGAAAACCAACAAGCAAAAACAAAATGACAATAGAAGATGACCTGGTCACTAGCTAAACCTACAGTTGAGTGTCTTGTAAAAGTAAATAATCCCAAGTAACTCTTTAATGATGAAGCAGTTTGAAGCCATATGAATTTTTATATATATAATGCAATTAATGAAAAACATGTTAAGAAATTATAGTGACTGCATAAATGACTTGGGCATGGACTGAGTAGAAGACACACAAAGGGAGAAAAACAGCCACCTGAAACTGGTCATGGGGTGGCTCAGAACTCCCATACTTCACTAGGTGGTTTTTATGAGAAAAGGGGGTAGAAAGACAGAATACAATCTTATTCTCTACCTTATAAAGTGGCTTTTACTATCTTCCCAATGGTCTTACCTTACTTTTGAAAAATTTATTGTTTTGATTATAAAAGTATTCCATTCTCATTGCAGAAATTTGGAAAAACATTGAAAAGCCTCAAGAAAACAAAACATCCACAATGCCATCATTTAGCAATAAGCTGTATTAATAATTGCCAAAATGTCTTTTATGCTGAAAGTCTGCATTAGCTCACATCTGAACACTTTGGGAGAGTTTAAAACATTTTAAAGAGTTTAAATTGAGAACTTAACGAGTACACCCGCACTTTATAGATTTATAAGGTACATTAAGTTTTATGGTACGTTGAACAATTCATTTCCTGCCGGGAACTGGTGTGGGTGTGTGTATACATGCTTATTTATTTTATATTATGAATCTTGCTGGCTGACACTTACCCTTTGGCTTCTAAAGTACAAAATAAAATGCATAATTTCTAAACGACATGAATCCCAGCTGAATGCTGCCCTTTGCCTTTGGTGTAAACCCACCAAAGTGGGCCTCCCAAGTGACAGACACTTGATCCTGAGCCACTCACAGGTCATAGGAGAACTTCTTCTCCAGGCTGGTCTGGTTCCTCTGGAACTGAAGGACTTCCTGCTGCAGCCTGCCATAACTCCTCTGCAGGGCTTTCAACTGGTCTGAGCCAAAAGGAGGACAAGTCACTGCAATGGTCACTGTGTGGCTGTCATGGTGCTCAGCCAATCATGACACATCAGATCACAAAGTGCATATACGCCACCCCTGCCAGATACCCTGCCCTTGGCTACTTGCCAATATCCTTCTCTTGTCGCCTGTTCACAGCCAACCTGTGACCCTGTGGTCATTTAATCACCCAACCTCCTATCAGAGAAACAGCAGATTTCTCTGAGAAAATGTGTCACCCCACCCCTGCTGTCCTGACAACAGCAGCAGCTGACCAGGGACCAGGCTGGGACAGGAGGAAAAGCAGCCTCTAAGGCCATCAGAGTGGGAGACAAGCAGCAACCAGGCCCAGACACAGCCCTGGACAGACATTGGCATCCCCAAAATTACCCTTACAACCTAGAACTACAAGAATAAAATTCTAATGAAATAAAATTAAATAAAACAAAGAATTCATTGATATAATGATACACACCACACAATATGGACCAATCTCAAAAGCATTTATAGAGAATAGCTAAGTAGGTGCTTAAGGTCAAAGTGGGAGGAGAGGATTCACCACAAAAGGCTCGGGAAGGGGTTTGGAATTGGGGTCTGAAGGAGACAGCATAATGTTTTGTGTTGTCTGCAGCACGGCTCTGCGAGAGTAAGCACTGTCAAAATGTTACTGTGCATGGTGGTTCAAGCCTATTAATCACAGCCCCTGGTAGGTGGAGGCAGAAGATTACAAATTTGAGGACAGTCTGGGCTACATAGTGAAAAGACAGTCTTGGCTATAAAGTGAGACCCTGTCTCAAAAAAAATTTTTAAAGTAAGTGTTAAATTATACTGATGGTAAGCTTTATTATATATAAGTAATATTTCAATAAACCTAATTTACAGGAAGAGATTTCATAATCAGACTAAGTATAGGACAATGTTCATTGTCCTACAGGGAGTCACACAACACGGAAGAGTCTCACAATAACTGTGTTGACGGAGGTGGGAAAAAGAAGGGGGTGCACAGTCTGAATGTAGCAAGAATCAAATCAATCCATAGGCTGGGAGGCAGATGACAGGCTGAGGATTACCAGGAGCACAAGAGAACTTTTGAGGTGACAGAGATGTCATGATATTGACTTTGGCTGTGGTTCCCGGACACATCTGCTATGTTAAATTTTGTTAAACTGGACACTTAATGTCATAGACACACAATTAAAACTTAAAAAGTCTAAGCATCGGGGAGTCTGCAGGTGATAGCCTTGGCTGGGACCCAACAGGCATCTCTGTGCAACCCTGCGCTTCCCCAAAGCACATCTCGCATATTCCCACTGGTATTTGTGCAGACTGATAGGGAGTAGTTAGTGCTGTCCAACAGAACTACAGTGCAAGCCACACAGGGACTTTCACATTTCCTAGCAACCATAGTTTTAAAAAGCAAATAAAACCTGGTGGAATTAATTCCATTTACTCCTACAGATACAAAAAATTGTCATGGCAGTAAGTAATACCTGAAAAAAAAAATGTTTTTTGGAGACAAGGTCTGGCCTTGAACTCATAATCCTCCCGCTCCTAATTCCCAAGTACCAAGATTACAGACATGTGGCTCCTCATCCACCCATTGTAAAAATTAATTTATCTACTCATTTATTTTACTGTTTATTTATTTTATTTTTTTCCATGCTAGTGACTGAACTCACTCAGAGCCTCGTTTTGCTAGGGACTCTGCAACTTGAGGCATGCCTTAGTCCTTTCTCATTTAGTTTGTTTTTCAAATAGGGTCTCACATTTTTGATCTTCCTATCTCTGCCTCCCAAGTAGCTGGGATTACATGTATACCACCATGCCCAGTTTATTTGTTGAGATTGGGGGGGGGTCTCACTAACTTTTACCAAGGTAGGCCTAGGGAACTCTGATCCTCCTGATCTCTGTCTCCCAAGTACCTGGGATCACAGGCATGATCTACTGTACCTGGATTAAATGTAAAAATTTTAAATGAAGTATTTCTAATTCTTTTCTTCATGCTAAGTCTTTGAAACTCCATGTGTATTTAACAATGATAGCACATTTCAAATCAGTTGTTATAATTTTCATTAGAAATTCTTGGTTAGAATTTAGATTTCATATAAATTACAGTTAAGAAATGAACTGCTATACCCATTTTGTCCAAAACATACTTAAGTTTCCCAGTAACTGTAGTCAAATACCAGTTTTAAATTTAAATTACTGAAAACTAACAAAAATTTCTGTCCTGCCAGCTCCATGCCAAGTGCTCATCAGCCATGTGGGGCTTATAGCCTGTACTCAGCTGCACAGCACCTCTAATGTGATCAACCTTCTCATCTTAAAAAGGTGGAAACTGAGGCACCAGCAGTCATGGAGCTTCCTGACCAAGGCTAGAGCTCTTTTTACTGTGTGTCCCCAGGCTACAGAGAACTTGCAACTCCAGTCCAGCAGGAGGGGGAGCACACCACACTGAGGCCTTCACCCCATTACCACCCATAACTACTCCAACACACCCCAAGGGAAAATAACCTTGGGTTGCCAAACTGAACCTCAGCAGCAAGGAAAGAGAATTATACTGGGCTGGACAGTTTTTACAGTGTCATGAAGAAAACCTAAATTCAGGACAACCCAATTAAGACTAATCTCTCGCTCTCTCTCTCTCTCTCCCTCCCTCCCTCCTCTCTCTCTCTCTCTCTCTCTCTCTCTCTCTCTCTCTCTCTCTCTCTCACACACACACACACACACACAGGTGATACACCACATATAAAAGTGGGTCACATTATCTGTCAGATACACAAGTTGAGCATCCCTGAACCAAAATACTTAGAACAGGAAAATGTTTCAGATTTCACATTTTTCAGATTTTTGGAACTGCATATACATAACAAGGTATCTTGAGGATGGGACCAAGGTCTAAATAAGAAATTCATGTAAGTCTCATATATATCTATATAAACAGCCTAATGGTAATTATATAAAACTCTTAATAATTTTTGTAAATTTTGACTGCAATCATCACCTGAGGTCAGGTGTGGGATTTTTCCACTTGGGGCATCATGGTGGCACTCAGAAAGCTTTAGATGTTGGAGTATTTTAGAGATTTCAAATTTTTGGTTTAGGTATATTCAACTTATGTAATTTTTGTTTTTCTTTTTTGATGCTGGGAGTAAACTCAGGGTTTTTCAAATGCTAGGCAAGTAAATGCCTGACCACTGAGCTATTCCCCCAGCCCAGCATTTCTTCATGCATTTATAAATGAAGACTCTCAGTTCTTCTGCCCATTCCAACTTGTAACGTATTCAGTAATATTTTTAAAAGGAAAAAACTTTTAAGGAAATACGATTGGGCAAAAAGAATACATTCAAGATGTTGAATACCTCCTAACACTATCCATCATGAGATTAGAGAGCCACCTGAGACCCTCAGAAAAATGTGGGAAAGGAGGGTTTCCCTATGAGGACGGTGCTGGCCCAGGAAGGGAATGAGCTTACCTTGCAGATCTCTGATGAGCTTCTCACCTGTGGTGATATTATTCACCAAAACTGCCTGCAAGGAAGACAAGCACAAAATAAAACACCACACCTACTAACATAACCTTCATACGGGGCATGCTGTGAAAGAAGGAAAGGATAGCCTGTCCCTATTCCGAGCCAGCTGTCAGGGGCAAGCACAGCTCTGGCTACGCTATCCCATGTCATGCCTGTTCAGAGATCTGTTTCCCAACTAGCAGCCTTCATTCCAGCTCCAGGACACCTTCCCCTAGCCAGGCCTGGCTTCTCCTCCACCCAGACTCAAACAGCAGCCAGCCCAGCCCACACCGTAAGTCCTCCACCACAAGTCAAGTTCAGTCCGAGGCTGGCTAAGTGAAAGAAGGGGAGTCACTGGTCACTCCGCTAACGCAGCCTCTCAATGCATTTTAACATCTGACCTTCTATCTCCTGTCCAGAGTCTGTGAAGTTGGGTGACAGTTTCATACACAGTGAGTTACATCAAGTGGGGAAAGCTAACAAAGGAGGAAGAAGCAACATGGAATGCCTAATGATGATAGCAAATATGAAGGAAAAAACAAAGGAGTACTGAGTGACCAATGTCACAAGTGGCCAACACACCCCTCCTCAGGAATCACTTTTGGCCTCATGTGTGTATGAGGTGGGCAGTATATTCACTCATTTTAGGGGACAGAAAACTGAGGCACAGTTTGCTTAAGTGGCTCCAGGTCAAGTGCTTATTAAGAGGCAAAGACAAACAGCAGCCTCAACAAGCACACCCCAGAAGGAAGCTGGAGTATGTTAGCACTCCAAGCAGGACACCCTTCTAATTGGATCTGCACCTGCAATGCATGGTCAATGTGCTAACTTGGCTGAGTAAGGAAGACCTAGAGAACCGCTGGCACATTACTTCTGGGTGCATCTGTGAGTGAGTTGTCTCCCTCCCCCAACACACGTATCTGGGACTTTAGAATTCTAGGCTCTAGGGCTGGAGGCATGGTTCAAGAGGTAGAGCACCTGCCAAGCAATTCAATCTCCAGTACTGCCAAAAAAAAAATTCTGTGTTTTCTGGTCTTGGGGCTTCAGGACTTATACTAGCAGCAATCTGGGTTCTCAGGCCTTCAGCCTTAGACTGAGAATTACATCATGGCTTCCCTGGTTCTGGGGCTTTCAGACTTGGGACTGAGTCATACTATCAACCTCCTGTAGAAGCCAGTCATGAGACCTCTCAGCTTCTTAACTGCAAGAGACAATTCCCCCAAGAAATCACTTCACGTATATTGGTTAAGTCTCTCTGGAGAATCATGAGTAACAGCATTCCATGCTAAAAACAAGCATAACCCTGCAACAGAGGGGAACTGAGTATTATATATCAGAGCATCACACAGGCAAGTGCTGTTTTGTGAACATAAGCCACAATGTCTAAGTCTCTTACTGTGTCAACAACAAAGATTGTGAATACTCCACTAGTCAACATGCTGCCCCAACCACAAGCCACATGCATGTCCCATTCCTGGTTAGTGGAGGAGGAAGACAAATTTGCCAGCTCCTCCCACATCTCTGAAATCTCTCTGTGTGGCCTCACACTGACCTGAGCCTGGACAGAGTGTGGTGACCAAGAACAATGCCTTCCTACAGGAAGATGTCTATGAACACAGATATGTGCTCCCAGACCCTAAATCTACCCAGATGACTCTGGCGTTTGCTGTGGGAGATTGAAGGATTGGGACATTTCCTGGGCAACAGGAGAGAAACCTTGATAATAATACCTATAAAATTCATGTATCAGGGAGAGATTTTTCAGAGGAGTGTTTATTCTATAAGGACAAGGGTACAGAATGGGAAGGGATAGGAGTATCCTCTCAGTGCCAAACTCCTGCTGCTCTTGAAAAAGCTTGAGGATGTCCAGGTGACAGAACAAAAGGTTACCCTCAGATCCCACAATCCCACTTCTGGGTATATGAACAAAAGAATTCACTGCAGGATCCCCAGGGGAGGTCTGCACTCCCATATTCATTGCAGTTCCCCACAGCAGCCAAGAGGTGGATGCCATCTAAGTGGCCACCAGTGGAAGAAAGAATAAACCAAATGTGATACATACAAGAGAGTATTATACAACTTTTTAAAGGCAGGGAATTCTGACACATACTACAACAAAGACGAACCTCAAAAACATTCAGGTTAAGTGAAATAATTAGCCAGTCACAAAAAAGAAAATACTATACAGACTCCACTTATATAGCAGAAACAAGAAATGGAAAAGTGGATTCCCAGGACTGGAGGAGCAAGAAGGAGAATTAGTTTGAGATCCAAGGCACAGCAATGTGTGCATAAGCACATCACCAAGCTGTACACTTAAACTACCACCCTGCCTCCACTCACAAGCACTAAAACAAAACAGAAAAAAGCCACATAAATGGTATCTCTAAAGCTAGCATCTGGGTAAATCATTTCTACAGACTAGGGAAGTTTTACTTACTCCTTTTCTACCCATTCTCCTATCCTCTCCCCCAAAATAACAATATTAGAGATTCAACTACTTGAAGGTTTGGGATTCTACCCAAAGAAAAAATATTTTTATCTCCCCCCATTTATTTATTTATGTATGAAAAAAATACAGCCTCCACTTAAGAAAATGAAGAAAGTAGAATCATAAGATGCCATCAAGATCTTCTGAACATAGTTTTATACTTAGAAAACTCCTATTGAATCATTTTCAGGAAGACTGTGAAAATGCTTCCAAGTTCCTTTTGAAGTTCTATGTATGATAAAGAAGAAAAAACATGCATTCAGTAATTTTTACTTTTTCTTTTTTGTGGCGTTAAGGATTGAATCCAGGGGTTTGGGTATGCTAGGCAAGCTGTCTACCTCCAAGGTCCAGCCAACAAAAGTATTTTTAAATGTCAATGTATTCTCAGAACAATCAGACTGTTCTTCACATTCTAGTGCAGGGTGACTGAACTGCCTGCCCTTGGGGGTGTTGTGAATCATGCCCTGGGCAGGGTCACCAGAACTAACTGGAAAGTGAACAGGAGAACATCAGGATGAATCACCCTCTTACAAATTTGGGAAACAAATACTCAAACTATTTCTGCGTTAGATTCTAGAAAAATAAGCTCAATTTTTCATAATAAATTTTCAAAGCAGCAAATAGGACTGGAGGAGTGGCTCAAGTGGTAAAACACCTGCTTTGCAAACGTGAAGTCCTGACTTCAAACCCTGGTCCCACCAAAATGGCAAATCTACAATACTGTATCACATTTTGAAAGTTTAGTATGATGTAAGTGACTAACTAAAGATTAACTTTCTAAACGCTCACTTGGAAGCATGGCCGATGACAACATTAGGAGTTGAAAGTGACTTTTACTACTGTATTTGTTTAGCTCATTAAAAAAATCAACCTGCTTTGAGAGAAGGAGTATACCTTAATTTAAATCTTAAAGCCCGGCATGGTTGCTCACACCTTGGGTGGCAGAGACCAGGAAGATCTCTATCTGAGGCTAGCCAAGCAAAGAAGGTAGCAAGACCCTGCTCCTGTCATCCCAGCTATATGGGAGCTGTAAGTAGGAGGCTGAAGAAGGTCCAAGGCAAAAAGCCAGGCCATATCTGAAAAATAACCTAAAGCAAAAGGAGTTGGAGGCAGGGCCCAACTGGAAGAGGCCCAAGGCCCTAAGTTCAAACCCCAGTACTGACTTAAAGAGGTCTCTCATCCTACCTAACCCTTTTTTTTTTTTTTTTTTTGATGGTACAGGAGTTTGAACTCAGGGCCTCACACTTGCTAGGTAGGCACTCTACCACTTGGGCCACTTCTCCAGACCTATCTAACCCTTGTCATCAATACAAGGCAATCTGGAGCTTTTGGTAATTTCTTTGTAAGAAAATTCCTGTTGTGGCTTCAGAAAGGCTAATCTTAAAATGCAAAAGTTAATCTCAGTGACCTGGGAATAACAAAAGAATGAAGGGTAGTAGTCATTAGAATCTTCTTTTTCTCCTTGTCAATTTTAAAATCTCCCAGGGCAATGCTGTCCAAGAGAAATTAAATGTCAGTCACATATGGAATTTTTACAAGTTCAAGTAACCAGGTTGGTGGTATAGCTCAGTAGTAGGGCACTTGCCTAGCATATTCAAGTGCCTGGGAAACATCACCAGCCCTGGGGAGGGGAGTAGTAGGGGAGGGAGGGAGGGATAGTCTACTAGCCACATTCAATTAAGTGAAAAATGATGAGCAAAGGATTCAAACTGACATTTCTCTAGCTGGGTATAGTGACACTGCCTATAATCCAAGCTGCTTGGGAGGCAGAGGCAGGAGGATTTGAAGTTTGAGGGTACTGCTTAAGTGGTAGAGCACTTGCCTGGCATGCAGGAAATCCTGGGTTTAATTCTCAGTACCACAAAAATAAAGTAACAGACATTTCTCCAAAGACGACATGTAAGTGACCCATCAGTGCATGAAAGATGGCCAGATAATAAGTCACTACAGAAATGCAACTCAAAATGAGAAGACACCGCTTCACCTACCAGCATAGCAATAACTAAAACATATGTGAAAAAACTAGAGAAAGTGAAAGTCCCACACACAGCTAACCAGAGTGTAAACACTCCTGCCCCTGTAAAGTCTGCTGGCTCCTCACAGTTAAATGAGGAGCTTCCATATGACCCAACAATTCCACTCCTAGCATACACCTAGCAGAAAGAAAACATTTCTCCACACAAGCTTCACACATGTTCCCAGAAAAATTATTCATAACTTCCCAAAAGTAGGAACAACCCAAATGTCCATTCACAGATGAATGGATAAACAAAATATGATCATCAGTATAATGGAACATTATTCAGCCACAAAAACGAACAACATATGACACAATCTATAACACAGATGAACCCTGACAACATTTCACTAAGTGAAAGATCCCAGACACAAAAGGCCACTTATTGCATGATTTCACTGGTAAATGTCCAAAACTGGCAAATCCCAGAGACAGGTTGCCAGGGGCTGAGGGCAGAGGAAAATAGGTAGTGACTGTTTAATGGGGCAATGAAAATGTTCTGAAATGAGAC